TTTAAGTCAATTCATTTCGAAAATATTCAATCAGAGCTGATATCTCATAATGTTGAAGTTAATGGATTATAAAAGATTTCTTAGTTATCCAGGAAAATCACAACATTATACCATACCAAACTTCATTAATAATTTACCGTAGAAAAATCTAGTATTAAGAAGAAAAAGAGGAAAAAAGAAAAAGACTTTATAATCTTAACACTGCTAGAGAGAGAAAATGATTCTCTGATATGAAATAAAATAATTATCTCATTATAAATATTTAAAAAGAATGTAATAATCAGTGTCTATGACTGAGCTTTAAATAGTTATGTTATATACAGTCTTCATGCAATAAATCATTCTAGAGATTGACAAGAAGAGCAGAAGTATACACACTGAGAAATGTGATTTATCAAGTCTATACAATATCTTTTTGAAACAAGGAGAGCTGATAACAACAGCAGAAGTGACAGAGGCAGAGAAAGCAGAAGTAGCAGAAGCAGAAGTAGCAGGAGTGAGAGTAGTGAGAGCAGGGATAGCAGGAGCGGGAGAATCAGAGGCAGGGACAAGTGTAGAAGATTTGAGAGAAATGACAGAAGAGGCAGAGAGAGACGCGGAAGACCCGGTCATACATGACATGAGCAATTTCTTCATTATCGCGTTCTTCAAGTTCTTAATCAACAATTTAACATTGAGATGTTCACTATCATCTGTGAACATGAATCTGTCAACATGTGAAGATTCTATGTGAATCAAAATAAATATATCAGCATCTGCATTCATGTAAAACACAATCAGATGCTCACAGAGAAAAGAAGATTAAGAGCATATAAGAAGATGAAGAAGATATGTCATTCATAGTAGTACATTCTGATGATTATTAGAAGATAAACAAGTTCTGGTCATGTTTCATAAACACATTACACTTACTGCTAATGAACTGCCTGATATGAGTACTACAATGACACTTGTTATGAGAACAGAGAGTTATTGCCAGAAACATGTATGATGTGATAGATGAACAGATAGAAGGTGTTGAACAGATGAAGATGCAGAAATCTTGTACAAGATAATAACATTCAATGATGATGATGATAGAGATAATGATTAAAGAATGAAAATATTAGTGAATGAGTGATGTAACAATAGTGAAAGCTTTTCTGAGAGTGGCTTACATCATGGTCATGTAGGCGTGACTGAATCTGGTGAGAGAGAATGTGATTCAGAAGAATGTACAACTGCTGAATAATAATACAGCCGCTTTCAAACATAACATAACTATTTAAAGCTCAGTCATAGACACTGATTATTACATTCATTTTAAATATTTATAATGAGATAATTATTTATTCATATCAGAGAATCATTTCTCTCTCTAACAGTGTTAAGATTATAAGTCTTTTTCTTTTTCCTCTTCTCTTCTAATACTGATTTTTCTACAGAAAATTATTATGAGTTTTGTTATGTATGAAGTTGTGATATTCACAGATACTAAGAAATCTTTTATAATCATTAAATTCAATATTATGAGTATATCAGCTCTGATGAATATTTTCAGAATAATTAACTTATATCAGTCTATTCTCTAGTATTTGTCATCTGACTTTGTAATGCAGGTGAAGAATATCTGTATTTTCAGAAATGAGAATATGAATGTTATACTCTTTTACACCTGCAGATGTGAGACTTATACACCTTGTCTGAGATGTCATTGTGAGAATAAGCTGTTTATATGCTGTATTCTTCTCTCTGTATTTTCTCATGTCTCTCTCTCTCTTTCTAAGAAGCCTTGTGCATGTTGTAATTATGTGTACAATTCTAAGATTAGCAGATGTTGATTTGATAACTGTTCTCATCTCTGATTTTATAGTTTTATACACTAATAATGATTCTTAGTTGCTTCAGTGTCAGAGGTTATTTTAATCTCTGAAGATGATAATACTGCTGAGACAACTCTCTTTCACTCTTAAGCTTCTTTTATTATTCTCTCTTTCTCTTCTACAGGAAAGATTGTGTGCATACTAGATTATAAGTGTTTAATTCTGAGTGACTCTTACTGTTATTCATTCAGTTCTGCACTCTCTTCTTCTTCAGTTTCTTCTATCTCTATCTTCTGTATTCTGACTTTTGATTCTGTGAGTTTCATGCTCTTCTTCCATTTTTCTACATATATATGTACACATTTCTATATTAGCATTTCAGTCAATCTTGTGATAAATGACATTAATATTGTACACAGAGCAGTAGAGAAATTGAAGATATATATAATATTATTATAAGAGTGGCTTGCAGCTCTCAAATTCCTTATAAATATTGAGTTTTAAGATTTTCTTTGTTTTTGATGTTTTTCAGATGATGTGATGTTGAAAATAGATTAAATATGTAATGTATAAGAATGAATAAGATGTGTATAATAACATTTGTCTTTTTACAGTCATCTCTTACAGTTGATGATCAATTCATTATTTCTTCTCTTTTCTTATGCTTTTTCTTTGTCTGCTAGTCACTACTCTTACACAATCTCTATATAATACAGCATTCAGTAACTAGGTTTGACAGCTTTTGTATTATGATTCTGTCTTGTGTATTATACTGTCTCTCTTTACTCACTCAGATTACTACAGTGAATAACTCATTGAAACTAATTATCTGATCTCTGAGCATTCTCAGAAATTGAGATAGCTTAATCTTACATGTCTGTGAATATTTCAGATGTTTCATCCTCTGTTATCTCTGCAATTAAACTGATGTAAACAGTTAAATTCAACTCTGAATTTCTTTTACTTCTGTAATTCAACTCATGTGTAAGTTTGCTGCTTTAAGACTGCTCTTTATCATATTATATTCACTATCTGCAGCATATTATTATACAACTGACTATAGTCTCATTACTTATTAAAGTGTGATATTTATCTAATTTCTTCATTTCTTCTCATTCTTTTCTTATAATTGTGAAAAGATTGAAATAAGTGAGATCATCTGATTTGTAAGTATCTATGATTTCTCTTACTTCATGAGACTTTTCAATTATAAGTCTCTTCTTTTTCAATGCTGATGATAGTACTGTAAATAATCATAATTTACTCAGATCTTACATCTTTGTTTTTATAAGATATGAATCATTTATTAAGTTGTGTAAGATCTGTCTTTCTGATTTCCTCAATGTGTATATTTTCAGAGAATATGATTTGAGTATTTTATAGAGCTTAAATCATCTAGATTGAAACTTCTCAGAACTCTTATTATGTACAAAAACTTATATTCTTATCTTGAGACTTGATTTCTTAATCAGTGAGTCTTGTATTCTTTTTAATTGAATTACTCAGTTCAGAAGTAACTCATTAGCTTTTACATGTGTGTAACTGATCTCTTTCAATCTTGATTCTATGTCTGCAACTACTGTGTCTGTAACTGCTGTATCTATAACTGCTGTTCTCTCTTTCTTCTTTTTAAAAGCATTCTTCAGAATATGTGAATGTAATTCATATAATAGATAGAATGATGAACACTTGAAGACTGCATGCTGCTGAATTCATGTGACTAATAGTGCCTGTCTGAGATATTCATCTCATAGTCTTGTAGACTTGCTCACTAGATATTTCATTAACATATTGCTCAGAATTTCATTCAAGCATTTCATCTTTCTGTTCATTTATAAATGATATAATATTGTTCTATGATGTCTTGTCTATAACTGGCTTATGAAATGTCTCACTGCTTCTTCTACAAGATTTACACTGTTATCAGTTAGAATCTCACACAGCATTTCATAGTTAATATAGATTTCATTATATAGAAAGTTCATCATCATCTTGTCTATTATCTCTGAAACTGCTTTCATGTCTGACAAGTCAGTAGTGTAGTTAATAGCAGTAATTATTCAATAATTTTTATTTAATGTTCATAGTAATATGTCTATAAGATTCACTTCTCATTATTTAAATGATTGTATTGTATATTTCATCTGATATTATACTTTCTCATCTTTTAATTCTTTCTTAGATTCTTTCACAATCTGATAATTCAGGCATTTGTAAGTATATGTCTGAATATTCTTGATCATGCTTGGTCAGTATACTCTTGATTTAAGTATACTTATGAGTTCAGAGCTTTCTAAGTGACTGAATTTCTTATGCATGTGAGTTATCAAGTTATATCTAAATAAATATTTTAGATAGAGAGCTTCTACATATTCTAGATCATAAGAAAGTATAATATTATTTTTCAATTTTCTCAGCTTGAAGTTTGAAATCATCTCTTCTACTACTTTTATAAGATGCTTATTATTCAATATTCTATTATTTTTCAAGTAAGAGATTATTGTGTTCACTTATTCTGATTTCTTGTATTCTTTCAGTATATTTAATATGAACTTCTTTTGTATCTGATTCACAGAATTCTCATTCATGAAATTGAGTCTGTGACTGATTGTATCAGATATCACAGTATCTGATTCTTTTCAGTATTTGATATGAAGATTATATACTTGAAACTCTGAGATTTAATGTGTTAAGTGTTTGAAAGATTTCATTGTTAATTATAGATAGATAAGGCTTTCATAATCTGTAATCACTGTTGTTGTATATCTGTTGTTAATATATCTATCTCACAATATCAGTGTGTGCTTGATTGCTAACAATTTCTTTTCATACACTGAGTAATTGAGCTCAGTGTCTGATAGTTTTCTATTATTATATATTATCAGATGCAGCTTGCTTTTCTTACTCATCTGCAGAAGAGTGTCTCTGATAGCTTATTTAAATATATTTATCTCAATGTAGAAACATTTATCATGATCTGATTAAATAAGCACTGAGAATGTTATTATATATTCTCTCACTGTGAGAAAGATCTCTTCACATACAGTATTTTAAATAATTGAATGAAACTTCTTCTTTCACAGATTTGTATCTGTCTCTCTTAAGAGATCTGAGAGTGATGCAGCTATTCTTATGAAATCTTTGATGCATCTGTGATAGTATAAGATCAATTCAAGGAATTGTTGTACATGATGTACATTTCTCAGCTATGATCAATTTACTATAACATTCAATTTTTCTGAAATGAGATATATATAGTTATCACTTACTACATGTCTCATGAACTTCAACTCTTCTGTTTCAAACACACACTTTGTTGATTTAATATAGAGCTTATACTCTATCAGAGTTATAAGCACTTTATTAAGATACTTCAGATATTTATTGTATAAGTTTAAGAAGACTAGAATGTTATTCAGATATATAAGATATGAGATTTCATTCAGTTTATAAAGAATTGTATTTATCATTGTTTAAAAGATGATAAGTGCATTCATCAGACTGAATAATATTATCAGAAATTCAAACTTTCTTCATTATGTATTAAATATGATTCACAGTACTGACAGTTTGTCTATATGAATCTGTCAGTATTCTGAAAGAAGATTAATCTTTGATAAATATTAAGTGTTTCTGACTGTATTCAACTGTTGTTGAATTCATGATAATGAGTATCTGTTCTTGATTGTAAGCTTATTAAGTGATTGATAATTGATACACATCTGTCACTTCTCATTCATCTTTTTTATGAATAGAACTGAGAAGTCTCATACACTTAATAAGAGTTGTATAAGACTATGTTCTAAAAGATCTGTGATCTGACACTTCTGTTCTTCAAGATATATCTGTGATAGAGAGTATACATTTTGATTAACTGGTTTCACATCTCTTATATTAATCTCATGTATGAATTCTTATTCTGA